TGGGGGTATCCTGGGGCAGAATGGTTGCCAGAATTTGCTTGGCTACAAAACGGTTTGTAGTCAAGCAGAATTTGAGTTACTCTTGACTTGCTGTTGGAGGTCTTTTTCAGTCGGGCGTCCCCCTACAGGGGGATTTTCGACGAAAAAAACAATACTCAAAACACATATTCCCAAATGGCCAAAAAACATTCAAAAAATAGTCCCCAGACTATTGTTTGGCTATTTTTTGATACTCTCCCTGTAGAGGGACAGGCCCGACCTAACATTCGTCGTGTTCGGCACGTATCCACTGGGACGCACCCGATGATGATGATGATGATGATGATGATGATGATGATGATGATGATGATGATGATGATGATGATGATGATGATGATGATGATGATGATGTTGTTGTTGATGATGATGATGATCGATGATGATGATGATGATATGAATGACGAGGTGGGCCAACGTAGGAGCTGGGGAGGCCCGCGCCAGGGCGAGAAGACATATACCAGAAAGAAAACCAGGACGCCTCACCAACCACCGAGACGACGGTAGGGCCTTTTATCCAGACTCGAATCGCCCAGAGGATTCTCATGGGGTCCTTGCCGTCGAGTAATTTGTCTATCTTGGGATACTCTCCTGTAGAGGGACGGAAGAGGAGAGAAGGAGGAGGGAGAGGAGAGGAGGGGGGAGAGACAGGAGCCCAGGAGCTAGGAGGAGAGGAGAGGAGGAGCAGGAGCAGGATGGAGGAGGAGAGAGGAAGGAGAGGAGGGAACATGAGGAGAGGGGGAGGAGGAGGAGGAGGGAGGAGGAGGAGGGAGGAGAGGAGGAGGAGGGAGGAGGAGGAGGAGGAAAAAGGAGGAGGGAGGAGGAGGAGGAGGGGGAGGAGGAGGAGGAGGAGGACTCGCCTCGAGCTCTGAGCTCCCCCTGGACGTCCGCGAGGCCGCCGCGGGGGGCCCGCTGCTCCCCCAGGGCTCCTGCGGAGGGCCTCCAAGGGGGCAGCAGGGGCGGCAGGCACGTGCTCGGCCACAGCCCACCCGTGCAGCAAGGTCACTCCCCGGCCGCATCACGCGCCCCGAAGAACGCCGAGGAACCCCGGAAACAAACGGCGACGAAAGATCCTGCGAAGACTTAATGCGCTCCCCGAGAAAACGGGAAACGGCGACGCGACCTCGGGGGGTTACCCACTGGAGGCTCGGCCACAGTCCACCCGTGCAGAGCAAGGAGGTTGCGGATACCGTCGAGGCGTTGACCTAAGGAACCCTAGATGATAAGGAACGAGGCCCCTATTCTCCATAAGTTAAACTTCGATGTCCGATCGAGATCATGGGGAAAACCTGAGGCAAGCTGCGAGACACTTGAGGAACGCGGGGCCCCTCCCCAACCAAAAGGGTTCCTTCTTCAGGGCCCCGACTGTAAGGATAATAGGGGGAAAACAAACCTGCCTCGCTTTTGACCACCCTCGCTTCCAAGAGATACCAAACGATGCCAGATTGCAGCCTGTACTGGTCAGGCCGCTTGGCGAGGAGACGCGTGGTATGGCTTGGTTTTGCCTGGAAGCGAAAGCGGGGTAGGTAATTCACCCTCTGAGATAGGCTGCAACGGGCCTCGGAACAAGGCGTTGACCTAAGGAACCCTAAATCAGGAACGCGGCCCCGATTCTCCATAAGTTGAACTTCGATGTCCGATCGAAATCATAAGGAAAACCTGCCTCGCTTTTGACCACCCTCGCTTCCAAGAGATACCAAACGATGCCAGATTGCAGCCTGTACTGGTCAGGCCGCTTGGCGAAGAGACGCGTGGTATGGCTTGGTTTTGCCTGGAAGCGAAAGCGGGGTAGGTAATTCACCCTCTGAGATAAGGCTGCAACGGGCCTCGGAACAAGGCGTTGACCTAAGGAACCCTAAATCAGGAACGAGGCCCCGATTCTCCATAAGTTGAACTTCGATGTCCGATCGAAATCATAAGGAAAACCTGCCTCGCTTTTGACCACCCTCGCTTCCAAGAGATACCAAACGATGCCAGATTGCAGCCTGTACTGGTCAGGCCGCTTGGCGAGGAGGCGCGTGGTATGGCTTGGTTTTGCCTGGAAGCGAAAGCGGGGTAGGTAATTCAGCCTCTGAGATAAGGCTGCAACGGGCCTCGGAACAAGGCGTTGACCTAAGGAACCCTAAATCAGGAACGAGGCCCCGATTCTCCATAAGTTGAACTTGGATTTCCGATCGAAATTATAAGGAAAACCTGCCTCGCTTTTGACCACCCTCGCTTCCAAGAGATGCCAAACGATGCCAAATTGCAGCCTGTACTGGTCAGGCCGCTTGACGAGGAGGCGCGTGGCATGGCTTGATTTTGCCTGGAAGCGAAAGCGGGGTAGGTAATTCACCCTCTGAGATAAGGCTGCAACGGGCCTCGGAACAAGGCGTTGACCTAAGGAACCCTAAATAAGGAACGAGGCCCCGATTCTCCATAAGTTGAACTTCGATTTCCGATCGAGATCATGAGGAAAACCTGAGGCAAGCTGCGAAACACTTAAGGAACGCGGAGCCCCTCCCCAACCAAAAGGGTTCCTTCTTCAGGGCCCCGACTGTAAGGATGCAACGGGCCTCGGAACAAACTCATCCGTCAACGCCTCCCCCCCCCCAATGCTCAAAGTTGGCAGTGGGTCCGATGAGATGCACCTCGACCGCAGTCTCCCGCGCGCGCCGACGTTGAGCTTGGGGGGGAGGGGGAATGTTCAGTAATTGTTTCCCTCCACCGGAGGGCCTTGGACGCCCAATTCGAAGCTCTTCGAGCGGGGCGCGGCCAAGGGACGTGGCGAAGGCAGGACCGTGTGGGCAAGGATGCCAGGGCACCCTTGGGGAGGCTGCCCATCCTTACTGTGCGGGTCGACTGTACAAAACGGTCTGTGATCAAGCAACTGTCTTACTTCTGCACTACTTGTGGAAATATGTGAAGCCGACGTTACAGTGGGGGCTCGGCCACAAGAAACCTCCGCAAGAAACCCAACCCTGAAATACGCGATTTGTTCAGTGAGAATCCACATGTGTCGATCGAAAATCGTCAAGATCTGATTGGGAGCCCATCACAATCCAAGAAACCCAGGGCACCCTGGCAAAATCCAACTGGTTTCTTGGCACGCGCCCCCACCGTACTTCTGCACTACTGGTGGAAATATTTGAAGCCGACGTTAGGGGATCACTGCCTCCCGAGGTTCTTCTGGAGGGCTCCTTTTGGGAGCATTCTGGGGCAGCAGACGTGGCCACAATTCGCTCGACTACAAAGCGATCTGTAGTGCAACAAACTTTCACTTACTTTTGACTCAGTGTTGGATGTCTTGGAAGCCGACGTTGGGAGCTCGCTGCTTCCCCAGGCTAATTTGGAGGGCTTCTTGGGGGCATCCTAGGGCAGATTCGGGGTCCGAATCTGCTTGACTACAAAGCGGTCTGTAATCAAGCATGTCTGGGCATGTCCGTCAAGGTGCTGGATACGTTAGATTGGATGAGTTTAGAGCACCCGAGGAGTGACGGACCAGGTGAATACGGCATTCGATGAGTTAGGGTACCAGATGAGATAAGGCAGCGGATTAATTAGGGTACCGGATGAGTTAGGGCACCAAATGCGTTAAGGCACAGGATGAGTTGGTCACCGGATGAGTTTGGGACTGGATGAACTGGGGCACGGGATGAGAGCTTGTCACGAGCTAGGCACCGGATGAGTTTGGTAATGGATGAGCTCGGCACCGGATGAGCTAGGGCATCGGATGAGTTAGGCCCTGGATGAGGCAGGCCTGGATGATTCAGGTAGGCACCGGATGAGTTTGACCGGGAGGAGGAGGAGGAGGAGGAGGAGGAGGAGGAGGCGGAGGAGGACGAACCAGCAACCAGACGAACTGGCCTGGATGAGATAGGCATCGGACGAATCCTGGCGCGGCGGGCGGGTGGGCCGAGGATGCACCCGCGACGGCTGTGAGGCGTCGGGGCCGCCGGCGTGGAGAAGGCCGGGCTCCACGTCGAGCGATGCGATCCCAAGGCATCGGCGATGCGGCGCGATGCCCCGACACCAGCCACAGACCCAGTGGGGGTCTCTTGGGGGCCTCTGGGAGCCTCCTGTCTGCCCCCGGGGGGCCCCTCCACTGGCACCATGGGCGGGAGGAGGAGGAGGAGGAGGAGGAGGAGGAGGGGGAGAGGAGGAGGAAGAGAGGGGTGGAGGGAAATGGGAGGGGTGGAGGGTGGAGAGGAGGGAGGGGAGGGAGAGAGGTGGAGAGGCGGAAAAGGCAGGAGGAGGAGAGAGGAGGAGGAGAGGAGGGTGGGAGAAATGGGAGGGGTGGGAGGGTGGAGTGAGGAGGAGGAAGAGGAGGCGCGAGGCGGATAGAGGAGGAGAGGAGGAGGGTGGGAAGTGGGAGAATGGAGGGTGGAAGTGGGGGAGGAGAGGAGAAGAGGAGGGAAGGCTGCGTCCGCGGATGGGCGTGAGCCGGCTGCGTGGCGCCGCGCGGATGAGTGTGGAGCAGGTGTTAGCGTAGGCTTTCGGGGAGGCTGGTTGAGGAGCGTGTCCTGCGCTCCCGGCGGCACACATCTGAACTAGCTGCGGGGGCGTTCGTTAACTTTGTACCTACGTCACGATCGGGCGCGAGATCCGCTGCGCTCCGACTGCTGCCGGGGCCACAAGCAGCACCGAGCTCCCGCGCAGCAGCACGCTCTCCCCCAGTGGGCGGGCACGGCGCGCAGACTCCCCCGCCCGGGCGCGCCAGGGGCACCGCGGAGCGGCGGGCGCACTCGGGGGCGACAACGGGGGGGGGGGCGGGGGGGCGGGCGGTCCTTCCTGTGGGCGGATCGAGAGTCGAGGGTCGAGGAGGATGGAGGAGGGCCGAAGATGGAGGAGGGCCGAAGATCGAGGCTCGAGATCGAGGATCGAGAGTCGAGGGTCGAGGATGGAGGAGGGCCGAAGATCGAGGCTCGAAGATCGGAGCAGGGTCGAGGGCCGGGGACCGAAGGGGGGGGGGGGGGGTCGAGGGCCTGCTGTGGGCGCCCTTGAAGTCCATCAGCAGCTGCACAATCCGCCGGTTCAGGCTCTCGGGGTCGCAGGGCTGCTTGCCCCTGGGGGGCGGGGGCGAGGCCACCCAACGCGCCTCCCGCCTCGCCCCTCCCACCTCGACCCTCGTCCCTCCTCCCTCTACCCTCGCCCCTCATCCTTCTCCTCGTCTGCTCCCTCGTCCCTCGACGTATTCCCGCTCCTCCTCGACTTCCTGCCCCTGTTCCCCAGCCAGTCCACACTGGCCCCCTGAAGCAAGTCCAGGCCAGAGTTTCCAGGTGAGTCCAGCAGTGGCGACGAAGCCGTCCCAAATGGGCGACAAGAGGCATCGGCCCCCCCCTCTGTCATCCTCCTCTTCCTCCTCCCCCTCCTCCTCGAAGGAGGAGGGGAGGAGGAACGGGCGGAAGAGTAGGAGGAGGAGGAGGAGGAGGAACAAACCCTCCCCAAAATCCCCTCAACAGAATGTCTTCTCATTGCGGAAGTGGCCCCTAAGAAGACAACCGTCTGAGAATCCCCAGTCGCGCCCAAACACTAGTCCTGGGACTTCAACGCCTGGAATCATCGTGACTGCTGCGTCCTGACTGTCGTCGGTCGTGCCAGGATACCGTTCTTGGGACATTAACACAACGAGTCGACGTTACTGTTGGGTGCTGACAGTCATTAAGCCATGCCAGAACATCATTTCTGGGACCTCGACCATACGGATTCTCGAAACCACCGCAAAATGTTAAGACGGATGTGCGCGGCGCAAAGGCGAGAGCCACACTTTGAAAGGGAGCCGCCCTCCACCCTTGAACATGCTGCAAACTCTTAAAGCACATGTGCGCGGCGCCAGGGCGGGAACCGTACTTTGAACACGGCCCGCCCTCCACCCAGAAAACGAATGCAGCAGCATGCAGCGAGTGTGCGTGGCGCTGGAACGAGAGCCACACTTTGAAACCGGCCCGCCCTCCATCCTTGAAGCCGTGGCCAGCTCTTAGAACGCATGTGCGCGGCGCGAAGGCGAGAACCCCCTTTCGAGAACGAACCGGCCTCCATCAGTGAAGCTGCTGCAAGCTTCAAGCTTCCGGGGCATACGTGGCGAAGAAGCCTCAAGCGGAACGCCCAGCCCGCCCTACCGACACGTCTGGGCATGCGACAGTTCTGAGAGATAGGTATGGAAGATGAGGCTTCTGCTCCTGCCAATGCTGGGGCACTGATGACATGAAGTCGGGCGTTGGCACAACTGGGTTTAGTGGGGCCTGGGTTTAGTGGGGCCTGGTTTAGTGCGCTCGCCCGTCCTGCCCCACCCCTCCCCCTCCCCTCCCCCCCCCTCCCCTCCCCACCTCCACCCCCACAACCCTCCCCCTCCCCTCCGTCCCTCTCACCAACCTGGCCCCTCCCCCTCCCCCTCCCCCTCCCCTCCACCCCCATCTTCCCCCCCTTCCCCCCGACCTCCTGCATCCATGTTCCTCCTAATTAACGCCTCCCTGTCGTACCTCCGAAGGTGTCGGTAGGGCGGGCAGGGCGTTTCGCCCGAGACCTCCTCCATTTACGTACGATTCTGAAGCTAATGTGTTCAACAGTTTCACGGGTGGTGAGGAAAGGGCCGATTTCTAAATGTTGCTCCCGCTTCAGCGCCGCGCGCACTCGTCTGAACAAATTGTAACATGTTTAACGCTGGAGGGCGGTTTCTTGTCAAAATGTGGCTCTCGCCTTAACGCCGCACACATTTGCCTTGACAATCTTGCAGCAGCAGTTCCATTGAATCAAGGACACATGGGTGAAGTTCCAGGAATGGCTTTCTGGCACGATTTAGGACTATCAGGACGCAACAATCACGTTGATTCGCAGTGTTGAAGTCCCATGAGCGGTGTTCTGGCACGACTTCGGATTTCAGGACCGAACAATCACGTTCATTCGCGGCGATGTCCCAGGAACGGTGTTTTGGGCATGATCGAAGAGTCTCAGCCGGTTGTCTTTCAATGGGGCACTTCCCGCAAACAAGCAATCTTGTAGGGACCTATGAAGAGGGCACGTAGAGGGAAGGTTCATTGCAGCCTCGTTTATGCGCTTTGAGTTTACACTGGTCCTCCTCCTCCTCCTCCTCCTCCTCCTCCTCCCGTCCACTATCTCTCTCTCTCTATCTCTCCCTTTGCCTCCCAACCCCCAGGGGGGCGCGGCGCTTGGGCGGGGACTGCGCGTAGTGCAGCTCCAGCTCCGAGATGAGCCGCTCGTAGGGGTCGCGCACCACGCAGAAGCCGTCCTGACAGCAGGGGGGGGGGGCGGAGGGGAGCAGCCGAGAGGGAAGATCGAGCCTCCCTCGCGACGCGGAAAAGGCCACGATGGACGGCTTTGGGCAATCTTCGGGCCCTGGGGGCCCTCGCTGGGCCCCAGGAGTCAAAACCGACTCGGGGCGAAAAGCTGGTCCCTGGGAAGGGGTCCGGACATCTGCGGCTCACGTCATGAAACAATCATTACGTTGGGGCGGCTGGCGTCGGCACTCACATGACCCAGCAGTCGCGCGCATTGGTTCATTCACCTCCTCTTCCTCTTCCTCTTCCTCCTCCTCATCCTCCTCCTCCTCCGCCTCCTCCTCCTCTTCCTCCATTCCTTTTCGTTATGAATAACTTCTCCCAGTCGCACCCCGAGGCCAGTTTTTAGGGCGGGCCGGGCGTTCCGCCTGAGACTTCCTCATCATTTCTGACCCTGAAGCTTAAGCAGTGGCAACAGTTTCACACATGTTTTCAAAATGTGGCTCTCGCCTTAGCGCCGCGCACATTCGTTTTAGACATTTGGAAGAGTTTCACGGATGGAGGGCAGGTTGTTTTCAACATGTGGCTCTCGCCTAACTCCGCGCACACTCGTTTCGAACATTTGAACGAGTTTCACGGATTGAGGGCAGGTTGTTTTCAAAATGTGGCTCTCGCCTCAGCGCCGCGCACAATCGTTTTTACACTTCGCATGAGCTTCACGGATTGAGGGCGGGCCGTTTTCAAAATGTGGTTCTCGCCTTAGCGCCGCGCACATTCGTTTGAAAACATTCGCAATAATTTCACGGATTGAACGCGGTTTCTTTTCAACATGTGGCTCTCGCCTTCGCGCCGCGCACATTTCCCCCCCCACACACACACACACACACACACACACACACACACACACACACACACACACACACACACACACACACACACACACACACACACGCACACACACACAAAACACTTGACATAATTTCACGGATCCCCATGAGCAACAAACCAGAAATGGTGCTTTGGACGGATTCAGGATTATGAGGGTCCACCAGTTACGCTGATTCGCGGTGTTGAAGTCCCAGGAATGATGTTTTGGCACGACTCAAGATCGTCAAGACGCAACAGATATTTTGATCCGTGGCGTTAGACTCCAGCGAACAATATTTTGGCATGCTTCAGGGTCTTGCAAACGGTTGTCTTCCAACGAAGCAGTTCCCCCAGTGGAAATGAACCGTTGTAGGAGCCTATAAAGAGGGAGCTTGGAGGAGGGCTTATTCCAACATCTTTGATGAAACTCTTGGGTTTCCACTGGTCCTCCTCCTGCTCCTCCTCCTTCTCCTCCTCCTCCTCCTCCTCCTCCTCCTTCTCTCCTCCTCCTCCTCCTCCTCCTCCTCCTCCTTCTCATCCTCCTCCTCCACCTCCTCCTGCTCCTCCTCCTTCTGCTCCTCCTCTTCCGCCTCCTCCTCCTCGTCCTCATCCTGCTTCATTCCTTTTCCTTACAGATAACTCCTCCCTGTTGCAACCCTAGGCCGGTGGAGAGGGCGGGCCAGGCGTTTCGCCTGAGACTGCCTCACCACTTATGATCCCCATGCTCAGTAATTGACGACACTTTCTTTGACAGGGTGGTTTTCAAAATGTGTCTCTCGCCTCAGCGCCGCGCACATTATTTTCATACAGTTGCAAGAGTTTCACGGGTTCAAGGCGGGTGATTTTCAAAATGTGGCTCTCGCCACAGCGCCGCGCACACTCGTTCCAACAAACTGCAAGGGATTCGCGGACTGAGGCCAGGTTGTTTTCGAAATGTGGCTCTCGCCTCAGCGCCGCGCACATTCGCATTACGTAGACATTTAAGAATTTCACGGATTGAGGGCGGGCCGTTTTCGGCCGTTTTCAAAATGTGGTTCTCGCCTTAGCGCCGCGCACATTCGTTCTAAAACATTGCAGCTAATTCAAGGATGGAGGGCGGCTCCTTTTCAAAATGTGGCTCTCGCCTTAGCGCCGCGCACATTCGTTTTGAACATTTGCCAGAGTTTCACTGGTTCTCACGGTTAACGTGCCAGGAACTGCGTTTTGGAACGATTCAGGATTTATCAGGGCGCACGTTGATTCGCTGTGCTGAATGGTATTCTGGCACGATTGAGGCTCGCCACGATGTAACAGTCAGGTTGACTCGAGGCGTTGAAATCCTGAGAACAGTGTGTTTGCACGCTTCTAGGTGTTCACACGGTTGTCCCCCGACGGGGCAATTCCCTCAGTGGAATGACCCATTGTACCTTATATGGGGCCTATGAGGGGGGATCTTTGAGGAAGGCTGTATTTCAACATCGTGGACGAGTCTTGGGCTTACACCCTCCTCCTCCTCCTCCTCCTCCACCTCCTCCTCCTCCTCCTCCTCCTCCTCCTCCTCCGCCTCCTCCTGGTCTCAGTCCTCCTCCTCCTCCTCCCTCCTCCTCCTCCTCCTCCTCCCTCTCCTCCTCCTCCTCCTCCTCCTCCTCCTCCTCCTCCTCCTCCCCCCCCTCCTCCTCCTCCTCCTCCTCCTCCCCCTCCGAGCGTGCGAGAGGAACGCGTCCCCAGGGAGGCTGGCGGCGGGGCCGGAGCCCCGGCCCGCCCGGCTGCCCTGGCCCTCCGAGCGGGAGCCCGCGGCAGAGGCCTCACAGATGGGGCCCGAGCAGGCGAGGTCGGAGGATCGAGGCGAGTCGCCAAAACATCGGCGATGCGGCTCGATGTTGGAGGCCTAAGAATTGGCACCAACACCAAGACAGGGAGTTGCCTTCATGTGGGGAAGAAGATCCTGGATCTCGGTGTTGGTGGCGATATTTCGGTCACCTTGGAAGCCAGAATCTTGCCACCATCACCGAGATCGGGATACTCTTCCCTCGGTGGAGGCACACCGCCGATCTTGGTGTTGGTGTCAACCTCTAGGCCTGCGACGATGAGGAACCTGGCTTTCTCCACGCCGACGTCGTCGACCCATCGCAAGCAGCACCGATGCATCGGGGATTTCGCGGCGATGTTTCGGCGATGCGGCGCGATCCTCCGACCCCATCTGCTCGGACCCCCATCTGGGGGGCTTAGGCACAGGGAGGGCGAGGGGGGGAAAAGAGATGGGATAGGAGACTGCCGAGTCAGTGCCGGGTCCCGAGGAAATTGCTCGAAAGCCGCTGAGACCGCCCGTGCGCTGACCTGACCAATCGGCCGTGGAACTGCCGCCTCAGGGCCGCACTGAGCCAAATCGGTACTCGGGCCTCCCCGGCATCACAGGCAGGGACCTGACCGACCCGAACGGTGACCAGACCTTTCTTTCTTGACCCCGGCAGCCGACAGGGAAACGACGGGCAGGAGCAGCCGCGGGAGTTGGGGAAGCGGGAGGCTGGAGGGCATCGGTGGACGAAGCGAGAGCAGCGGAGGAGGAGTGGGGGAGGGCCCGCGCGGTCGGGCGGAGGCGCTCACGCCCGGGCGTCGTGAGAGGCGTGAAGACGACGGGCGGTCTCGCCCCCTTTTTTCAGGGCCCAAGGCCCTCGCGGACGGCTCGGGTGCCGCGCAGAGGTGGGGTCGAGCGCGCTCCCGTCGCCTTGCTGTCGAGGACGCAACATGTCAGGGGAGGGGTCGGGAGGGGAGAGGCTGGGGGGGGGGCGAGGGGGGGCGAAGAAGGGGAGCACGGGGTCAAGGGAGGGCGGAGGCAGAGGGGGGGCCGAGGGAGCGGCGGAGCAGAGGAGGGCACACGGGCGGGGGGGAAAAAGCCGAGCAGCAACATGCGGAGGGCGAAGGGATGCCGGCGTGGTCTTGTTCGTCGTTTGGCCGACCGGCGCGGGCCCTCGCACCCCCTTCCTCCTCCTCCTCCTCCTCCACTCCTCCTCCTCCTCCTCCTCCTCCTCCTCCTCCTCCTCCTCGTCCTCCTCGGCCTCCCCCTCCTCCTCCTCCTCCTCCTCCGCCTCCTCCCCTCCTCCTCCTCCTCCTCCTCCGCCGCCTCCTCCTCTCCTCCTCCTCCCCCTCCCCCCCCCCCTCCCCCCTTCCCTCCCCCCCTCCCCCCCCCCAAAAAAAATGGAGCGGATTAACGTGGATTTTGGCAGTTGTCGGCGCCTGTTTCGAGCAGGGGGAGTCTCCCCCAGAGGACGCACTGCCGCAAACAGTCGCACTAAGCAGGGGTCCAGAACCAGACCCCCCCCCGTCCCCCCCCCCTCCCGCCAAATGTCGCAACGCCGAAGAAGAAAACGTTCACGATGCGGGAGGGGGGGACCGCTATTCAAGGCGCAAACGGGGCTGGGTGCTGACATCACTGAGGACTCTGCCCCACGGCAGCGTCGTCGTCGCCGCCGCCGACGCCGCCATCGTGGTCGTCCTGCCCCTTCAGGGTCGGCGGCACCGGCCGTAAGGCCTTCGCAATAGGAGGTAGAGGGCAGAGGGATGGTGGGGGAGGGGTATTCAACAGGGCTGAACCTAAACGGTGTTTCTCGTTTTCGTTTTCGTTTCGTTTTCGTTTTCCCTCGCAAAACGAAGTCGAAACGAGAACGGCCCACGAAATCGCCAGAACACCGTTTAGGTCCAGCCCTGGTATTCAAGACGCACGCGGGGTGGGGTGCGAAAGGTCGGGGGTCAGATGCCGGCCCTGGACCGCTGCCAGCCAAAATCTGTGCAACGGCGCCGTCCCCAGGGCGGTGGGCTCCGTGCCAGCCGGAGGAGGAAGAGGAGGAGGAGGAGGAGGAGGAGGAGGAGGAGGAGGAGGAGGGAGGAGGAGGAGGAGCAGGAGGAGGAGGGGGAGGAGGAGGAGGAGGAGGAGGAGGAGGGAGGAGGAGGAGGGGCCCTATGACGTCAAGCGGCCCGGCGCCGCACGTTCGCGCAGCCTCTCGCAGCTCTGGGAGGGACTTTGGGCCCGAGGATTCGCTGCCTGCTCCACTACCTCCTCCGCCAGGGGAGGAGAAACTGCACGAGCATGAGCTTTCGACCGTCTGCGCGGAGTTCTTGGGTCTGCGCTGGTTACGCCTCCCTGGCGCGCGGAGCGCAGACGGGGGCGGCGCTGGAGACGCCGCCGGGGGGGGCCAAGCGCAGATCCAAGAAATCCGCGCGGACCGTCAAAAGTTCATGTTCGTGCCATTGATTCTTCTTCGATCCTCCTCCTCCTCCTCCTCCTCCCTCCTCCTCTCCTCCTCTTGCTGCTCCTCCTCCTCCTCTTCCTCCTGCTTCTCTTCCTCCTGCTGCTCCTCCTCCTCCTCGTCTTTCGAATTTCCTCCTCCTCCTCATTTCCTCCTCCTCTTTTCCTCCTTTGCATCCTCCGAGTTTCCTCCAACTCCTCCTCCTCCTCCTCCTCCTCCTCCTTCTCCTCCTCCTCCTCCTCCTCCTCCTTTACGCTCGACCAACCTGAGCAAGAAAGCTGTGGCATGTTCCTCATCCTCCTCGTCCTCCTCCTCCTCCTCGTCCTCGTCCTCTTTCTCCTCTTCCTCCTCCTCCTCCTCCTCCTTTCTTTATTCGACGCCTCCATCTCCTCCTCCTCCTCCTCCTCCTCCTTCTCTTCGTATTCTTGTTATATTCAACCTTATTACTCTTATGTGTCTTAAACTCATTATTCGTCCCCTTCTGATTAGTCGCATTTTTAATAGTGGTCGGTTTATGCTGATTTGCTAATGCTTCGTCTAACTAATATTAAAGTTTAATATGTCCAGTATGCTTCGCATTTTAGTATTGTTCAGTATGTCCATGCTTCGTCTAACTAATATTAATGTTTAACAGACTCGTATCATTAATCGTATGACTATCGTGTTAACCACTAGTTGAATCACATTACTAGTACTATCGCGATCAGTATTCATGACGCATTGGTAGTTGTATTTGCACTGTTTCCTTCATCGTGTTAACACTAATATAATAGTGCTCTTCTTATGGATGTCAATATTAACCATAATATTACGAATGCTGGCAATAATAACATAAGTACTCTTAGTATCAGTATCTGTATGATTACTATTCCTCCTCCTCCTCCTCCTCCTTCCCCCCCACCCCTCCCCTCCCCTCCTCTCCCCTCCCCCCCTCCCTCCCTCGCCCTCCTACTCGCGACGTCGGAGGTCCCCTGATCCCCCCCTAAAAGAGTACACGGCGAGGCCCGGCGCAGGCCTGCTTCTCGAAGAGCCGCCGCTGCATCGAGGGCGGGGCGTGGTAGCCCCAGCACCGCTCGGGGAACTCGGAGGGGGGTGGGGGGTGAGGGGGATAAGGGGAGGGGAGGGAGGAAGGGAGGGAAGGAGCACAATGCGCGCCGATTTCTGGACTGCTCCGCCTCAAGATATACGATTCGCGGGGTGCCCCGAGCGGAGGGACGCTCCACTAAGTGGCCTCAAAGAATGCCCGCCGAAACGGCGATTTCTGGAGTGTTCCGCGTCGGATTCGCAGGGCACCGCTCCGCCAATTGGCCTCGAAGGCCTCGAAGCATGCGCGTCGACATTAGTTGAATCGCACCTGCGTCCAAGAGTCCCCCGAGGGGCTACCCACGATATCCCAACGACCATCCATGAGGCCTCGCCCCCAAGAGGCCCTAAGAGGCCCCCAAGAGGCCCACCAAAAGAGGCCCCAAAATGACCCCCAAGAGGCCTCAAAACTGCCCCCCAAAGGCCCCCGAGAGCCCCCCCACGAGGTCCTTTTGAGCATCCAGTAGGCTTCATACCCACCACCCAAGCACGGTGGCGTGATGGGCTTAAGGCAATTAGATCGAGAGCATGCCGCTGGATGCCCCCAAGGGGGGGGACCCCCCCCATTCCCGATCCGTCGTCGGCGGATTCCCCCCCGTCCACCCCTTTCGACAGGGGGGGAGGGTTCGACCCCCCCCGCTCCCTCCCCATCTTTGGATTCAAAATTCGGACCCCCCCCCTCCCCCCCTTTACTCGGGAACCCTAGTTCCAGACTCCTACCTTTTAGCCCTAAGCCCCTAAGCCGAACACCCTAACCCGAACTTTACCCCCCGACCCCCAACCCGTCACCCGAATCCTATTCCGAACCCTCACCCGAACCCTCACCATCCAAACCCACATCCTTACCCTCACACTCTCCCACACCATAACACGAACCCTAACCCAATTCCGAACTCCAGCCCTAACCCTAAGCTGTAGCCCCTAACCCCTGACCCCTAACACTTCAAGCCCGTATAACCCTTACCCTAACTCGAAACCTAACCCCACTACCCGAACCCGAACCCCTAATGCACAAACCCTTACCCTGACACCCTTAGTCCTAACACCTTTGAACCTAAAACCCTTAACCCGACCCCTAACCCTAAGCTTAAACCGAACCCGAACACGCATCACCCTAAATCTTATACCCCCCAAACCACAAACCCGAACCATAACCGCTTAACCCTAATCCTTACTCCTTATGCTTAGCCCCCCCGAACCCCATCGAGCTGAGGTGGCCGATAGCAACCCCGCCGTCTGCAACACAACAGTGCGAATTCATTGTTTGTCGCCAACATGTCGTCGAGTTGCGAAAAGTGCAACAGGAATGGGACGGAATGAACATCGCTTGGGTCACCCTAAGCAGGTGGTCGCGTCCGACCGCTCAAAACAAAACAAACAAACTCAACGCTGTTTCGGTCAACGCGGATTTTCTTGTCGTCGACGCTGCGAAAAATGTAGCAGGAATGGGTCGGAATGAACACCGCTTGGGTAACCCTAAGCGGGTGGTCGCGTCCAACCGATCAAAAAAACAATACAAACTCAACATCTTTCTCGACAACGTGGACGTTCTTGTCGTCGAAGTTGCGAAACGTGTAGCAAGAATGGGACGCGGCGCACGTCGCGCGCGGACGCGTGGCCAACCCTGCGCGGGACCCCCCGTCCTACCTGCCAACAAAACACGGCAACGTCGACGTTGTTCTTGCCAACATGTGGTTTCTCCTCGTCGGCGCTGCGAACCGCGCAGCGGCAATGGGACGCCCCGCGAATTCCCAAAAGGCATTTCCTCTTCAACCTCAGTTTCTCCCTCCCTCCCCCCCGTCCCCTCCGCCTCGTCCTCCTCCCCCTCCTCCATGCGCGGCAGGAGCGAAACGATTGGCGGTGCAACACGCGTGGCTGGAATGAGACGCGGCGCACCTCGCGCGCTGGACATGCTGTCGCCGACGATGCAACATGAGAGGCGGGAGCGGGGCGCGGCGTACATCGCGCGCGGTCTTGTTTCTCGTCGACGTTGCTCAACGCGCGGCAGGAGTCGGACGCAGCTCATGTCGCGCGGTGAACGTCCGGCCGCCCACGATACAGGATGAGCGACAGGCGTCGGACGTGACGCAGTTACTTCTTATGTTGTGGGAGGGCGGGTGGGAGTGGACGGAGCCCTCTGGCTCGTTCGAGCTGCCTAACTTGATCACTGTCCCCTATTAATATACACCCCATCCCCAGGGCGACTGGGAGCCAACCAGTGTCAATGCGGGCACCCCACCACCATCCCTTCAAAAAACAATACAAAACACATTCTGTCTCCAAATTCGGAGCATGCGCAGCGAACCCGATGCGGCCTCCCCCCACCATCCCTGTCAACAAACAATACAGAATACACTTCGCGGCGGCAGCGGCTGCGGCGAGGGCAGCGGCTGCGGTGGCAGCGGCGGTGGCGGCTGCGGGGGCGGCGGCGGCGGCGGCGGTGGCGGTGGCGGCGGCGGCGGCGGGCGGCGGCGGCGGCGGCTGCGGCGGCAGCGGCTGCGGCTGCGGCGATTCGGGCAGCGGGCGTGCGCGGCGCGGGCGGGCGGCGGCGGACGCGGCGGCGCGGGCGGCGCGGCGGCGGCGGCGGCGGACAGCGGCGGCGGCGGCGGCGGCGGCGCGGCGGCGGCGGCAGCGGGCGGCGGCGGCGGCGGTGGATTCGCCCCCAGTAGCTGCCCATCCAAAGACGACTGCTGAACATGCGGTGGGAGAGAGCGAGACGGCTTGCTGGCGGGGAGGGCGTCTTGACCCTTACCCTTACCGACCCCCCTAACAGGGCTGAACCTAACCAATGTTTTTCGTTTTCGTGTTGTTTTCGTGTTCCCTCGCCTTTGTCTCGAATCCGCCTTCACCGCAAAACGAGAACCCTCACCCCCTAACCCCTACACTAACGCCCGAATCCGAATCCTACCACGCTAACCCGACCCCCCATGACACTGACCCTAACACCTTAACTCTAACCCTACACCCCTAATCTTAACGCCCTAACCCGAATCCTAACTTACCACCCGAATCCTGACCCCCTGACCCTAACCCTAACCTTCTAACCCTCACCCTGACCCCCGGGCCCGAACCTTACCCCCCCCCCCCCCCCCAAAAAAAACTGCCACCCTAACCCTAACCCCATTAACACCCTAACCCTCACCCTAACTTACCCTACACAACCCTGACCCTAAACCCTAACACCCTGACACGATCCCTCTCAACCTAACCCGGACCCTACCACCCAACCGTAACCACCAAGCTCCGAACCTAACCCGAACAGCCTGATCTCAACCCCCCAACCCGAACCCTCACCCGAACCCCCCAACCCTAACCCGAATACCCTAACCATAACCCCCTGACTCTAACCCTGACCCTAACCCTACACCCCTAACCCTACCATCCTGACCCTAACACCCTAAGCCTAATCATAACACCTTACCTCTAACCCAAATCCTAACCCTACCAGCATAGCCCCAACCCCCTAACCCTGACCCTAACAGTACCTCCCTAGGCCCAACCCTATTACCCTAACCCTAACCCCCGAACCCTAACCCTAACACGCCTAACGCTGACGCCCTCACCCTAACACTCTGACACTCTCACCACAGCCCAACCACTCGAACCCTGAACTTTATTCCTAACCCTCACCCTCATCCTAACCCTAACCCTGAACCGAAACCCTAACCCGAGCTGCAACCCTAACCTAAGCTCTAACCCCTAACCTCTGACCCCTGACCCCGAGCTCATAACCCCAACACCAAACCCCTTTACCAGCCCCACACTAACCCTAAACCTAAGCCTACGAATCCCCTAACTCACAAACCCTAGCCCTAACGCCCTAACCCTAACCCCCGACATCCTAACCCTAACCCCCAAAGCCCCCTAAATCCCGAACTTGAACCCTAACCGCCTAACCCGACCCCTAGTCCTAACCCGACCCCTTTTACCCCAACCCACTACCCCGAACCCCTATCCGAACACCCTAACCCTAGCCCCACCACCCTAACCCGAACACCATGACACTAACCCTAACACCCTAACCCTAAACACTACCACCCGAATCCGAATCCCCTAATCCGAACCCGAACCCTACCACCCTAATCCTGAACACCTAATCCTGACCCTATCTAACCCTAACCCTAACACCCTAGCCCAAACCCCCACCCTGACCCCCCAAACCTACCACCTTAATCCAAACCCTCTCATTTCCGAACCCCAGCCCTAACACCCTAACCCTGACCCTACCACCCTAACCCTGACCCTACCACCCTAACCCCCAACCCCCTGACACTATCCCTGTCACCCTAACCTGAACCCTACCACCCACACCCCAACTCCCTAACCCGAGCCCTAATCCGAACACCCTAATCTGAGTCCCCATAACCCAAACCCTAACCCTATCCTTCACTCTAACCTTAATCCTAACACCCTAACCCGAACGCTTTAAACCTAACACCCCAACCCTACAGCTCTCACCCCGACCCAACCACCCTAGCCCTGACCCCCGCTATCTCTCTCTGGCGCAGGGGGGGGGTCCACCCCTCCCCCACACACATCTTTTGAAACGACGGGGCGGAGGCCGAAATGCCCTCCCCCCACCCCTCGTCCGGCGGGCGCAAAGGGAAGCAGGGGAGGGTCCGACCCCACCCCCCCCTGAAAGGGAAAGGGGGGTGTGGGCGCGGGGGGGAGTCCGAACACCCCCCCCATTGACGGGGGGGGGAGGAGGCCGAACCCTCCTCCATCCTGCATAAAAACAAGAAAAAAAAAAAAAAAAAAAAAAAAAAAAAAAAAAAAAAAAAAAAAAAAAAAAAAAAAAAAAAAAAAAAAAAAAAAAAGAAAAAAAAAAAAAAAAAAAAAAAACAAAAAAAAAAAAAAAAAAAAAAAAAAAAAAAAAAAAAAAAAAAAAAAAAAAAAAAAAAAAAAAAAAAAAAAAAAAAAATAAAAAAAAAAAAAAACACAAAAAAAAAAAAAAGAAACAAAATAAAAAAAAAAAAAAAAAAAAAAAAAAAAAAAAAAAAAAAAAAAAAAAAAAAAAAAAAAAAAAAAAAAAAAAAAAAACCGAACCCTCCTCCTTCATAAAAAAAGTGTGGAAGGGCGGGAGGGGGAGAGGTCCGAACACTCCCCCCCGTGAAGGGGGGGGAGAGACCCCCCCCCCGCCTTGGAGCTGGGGGGTGGAGAGCACCCCCCCCTTCCCTTGAAGGGGGGGTGGAGAGTGAGGGGGTCGAACACCACCCCGCCCCCCCTTTGAAGGGGGGGGGGGGGCGGGGGGCCGCCCCGCTGGCACGCGACCCCTCTGCAGCCGCGGCGCGCACCCGGCGGCGCGCTCCCCCCACAAGACGAACTATAGGACAAAACCCTCAAAAAGAAACAAACACAACACGCAGAACCGCCCGCCCCCCCCCCCCCCCGCGGCTGCTCGGGGGGTCTCCTGGCCGGGGTCGATCCGGACCCGGGCCAGCCAGGCCCTGCAGAGTCCTGCGGGCTCCTGCAAGGCTTTTCTTTTCGTTTGTTCTCTGCGATCCTTGTCTGGCGTGCTCTCTTCGGGGAGATCTCTGACGCAGTGTGTGGCGGCATTCGCGCGTTGCGAGATAGGGCCTCGCAGGAGCCCTGTGTGGGCGGGCTCCTGCAAGGTCCTGCGCCCCAGCCCGGGTCGGCGCGCGGGATCCCGCAGGATCCTGCCGGATCCTGCGCCCACGCCCGGGTCAGGGCGGCCCTGGCCCTGCGGCTGCTGCAGGATCGGGCGCTCTGGCCGACCCCCGTCTGCATCGACCCCCCGTCTCCCCCTCCTCCTCCCCCTCTCTACTCCCCTCCCCCTCCCCCTCCCCCTCCTCCTCATCCTCCTCCTCCTCCTCCTCCTCTCCTCCGTCCTCCTCCTCCTCCTCTCCTCCTCCTCTCCTCCTCTCCTCCTCCTCCTTCCTCCTCCTCCTCCTCCTCCTCCCCCTCCCCCTCCCCCTCCCACCCCCCATCCTCCTCCTCCTCCTCGTCCTCAGTCTCGTCTCGTTCCTCCTCCTCCTCCTCCTCCTCCTCCTCCTCCTCCTCCTCCTCAAGGCTCCCGAGCTGGCCTGCCACAGGGGTGCCCGGCGTGCCGAACCCCACTGGTTCGGCCTCGTGCTTCTCTCTCCTGCTCGAGCAAGGAGCTCTCCCCCGGGGACCTCGGCCCGTGCTGCCGGCCCATGCGGCAGACCTCTGGCTGCCAGGAGTTTTCCAGTCCAGATGGCTCCACGTTGGCCTCCAAGCTCGGCCAAGATGGCCTCCAAGCTCCTCCAGAGAGGGTCCAGAAAGGCCACCAAAGATCGCCCCAAGATCGCCCAAGTGGCCTCTGGGATGGCCCCGGAACGGCCCAAGAGGCCCCCAAGACGGCCCCAAGAGGGCCCCAAGACGGCCCAAGAGGCCTCCGAGCCCAAGATGGCCTCTAAGACGGCCCCGAATCCCAAGAGAGTCCTCAGTCGGCACAGAGAAGCCCCCAAGACGGCTTCCGACAGCGCCAGACGGGCCAGAAGCCTACCAAGGCGGCCCAAGATGGCTCCAAGGTGGCCCAAGACAGCCCAAGAGGCCCCGAAGAGGTCTCCAAAATGGCCCCATGGGCCTCTAAGAGGACCGCCAGAAGGCCCAAAGAGGCCAGCATCATTTATTTCCATGAGTTCTTTCACGGATTTTGGCATTTGTTTTCTGTCGGCCTTCCGACGGCCCGAGACGGCCTAAGAGCACCCGAAGATCGCCCCACGATCGCCCAAGAGGCCTCCAGAAGGGCCCAGAACGGCCCAAGAGACCCCCAAGACGGCCCAAAAGGCTTCCCAGACGCCCCAGATGGCCTCCAAGACTGCCCTGGAGCACCCCAAGGGCGCCCTAAGTCGGCCCAGCGAGGCCCCCGAGACGGCTTCCGACGGCCTCAGACAGGCCAGGAATGCCCTACGACGGCCAAAGAGGCCCTCGAGAGCCCCCCAAAAGCACACAAGATGCCCACGGAGGCCCCCAAGATGCCTCGAAGAGGCTCCCAGGAAGCTCCCAGGAGGCCCCAAGAGTGCCCCTAGAGGCTCCCAAGAGTACTCCTCCTCCTCCTCCTCCTCCTCCTCCTCCTCCTCCTCCTCCTCCTCCTCTTCCCCTTCCCCGCAATCCTCTCGCAAGTGTGCCCAGAAGGGTTTCCCCAACGGTTGGGGGAACACATGGTGTGATAGCTTGGCAGAGATCTTGCCACAACGCTCGGCCACATGGGCGATTCCAAAAGGCAGGGGGCGGCGGTGATTCACCGTAGACGTCTTCGATGCTTAACTGTCATCATCACCAACACCACTACCATCATCATCCTCATCATCCTCATCCTCCTCCCCGCTACCACCACCGCCACCACCACCATCACCACCACCAACACCACCACCACCATCATCATCATCAGCATCCTCATCACCATCATCATTGTTATGATCATCATCACCATCACCATCACCGTCACCGTCACCACCGCCATCACCACCGCCACCACCACCACCACCACCATCACCACCACCACCACCACCACCACCACCACCACCACCGCCGCCACCCCCGACCGCCCAGAACCACCACACACCACCACCACCACCACCACCTCCACCACCACCACCACCAACCACCACCACCACCACCACCAGCACCACCACCAGCACCACCACAACCACCACCACCACCACCGCCACCACCACCACCACCACCACCACCACCACCACCACCACCACCACCACCACCACCACCACCACCTCCGCCAACAGCAACAGCATCAGCATCAGCATCAGCATCATCATCATCATCATCATCATCATCATCATCATCATCAGCATCAGCATCAGCATCAGCATCATCATCATCATCATCAGCAGCATCAGCATCAGCATCAGCATCAGCATCATCATTATTATCAGTTTAATCATCAAAAACATCAACATACACAGCAACATCATCATCATCACAACCACCATCATCATCAGCCTCATCATCAGCATCCTCATCATCAGCATCATCATCATCATCCTGCTAGGCTCGCGGAACGAGACGTTGCGGAGACAAGCGGGCGCCTTCTCCTGCAGGTTGGCCATGATGTTCTTGCTCAGCGCCTCGTGGCGCAGACCATTCGATGCCCTCCTCGTCCTCCTCCAGACAGGAGGGCCCAGAGTCGAATCGATGTCGAATCGGCGATCGAAAGTAATCGGATCGGCGGAAATCGATAGCCAAGTCGGGAGGAGTCGACTCGGCGGAAATCGGCAGAATAACAAGGCATCATCGAGAAATCGGAATCCGAAGTCGAATCGAATCGGAATCGGAATCCATCGAAGTCGAATATAATCGAATCGGAGGAGTCGAGACGAACCCTGCCAGACCTGTGCTGGAGCTCGGCCAGACCAGGATCTCGGTGGCGATCCGCCCGCAGCATCGAAGACCCCCCAAGAGGCCAACAAAGAGGCGAGCAACGTCAAGAACCTGGCGGGCGAATGGACGCTGACATCCTGCCCTTTTGGCCAATAAATCGGAGCCGAACCGCGAAGCGCGCAGCGAGAACACCTTCGCGCCCTCGAGGGCGCCCCCCAGGGGAGGAGAGGAGGACGAGGACGAGGACGAGGACGAGGAGGAGGAGGAGGAGGAGGAGGAGGAGGAGGAGGAGGGAGGAGGATGGAGGAGTCCTTTTGCTTAGCGCGGAAGGCTGGCGCAAGAACCTGCAATGCGCTCGGCCGACCATGCCGTCGCACCGGTGCGCATGGCCGGCGATGGCAGCCGGCGCGGCGGGGCGCGAGCGCGGAGGCGACGCAGGCGATGGGGGTGCAGCCAAGCTTACCAGAACGGCGCCCGTGCATCGCACCACGTCTGGACTCCTGTCAGGGCCCGCTCCAACGCGGCGCGGTGCATGGCTTGTTCGGCTCCGCAGGCCGAGATGCACCGTGGGATTCCCGAGTCGAGGATCGACGACGCCTTTGGAGGCGCCAGCGCGGCACGGTGCATACGACCCGTCTGCGGAAAGCTGCTACACATCAAAAGCGAATGCCCTGTTTGGCCCAACAGGCGCCCGGGGACACGAGGGGCGTCAGGGCAGCAACCACGGATGGACGCGAGGATCAGCACACCCGTTCCGACCCCGGCTGTTCCTTGGAGGAGGAGGAGGAGGAGGAGGAGGAGGAGGAGGAGGAGAGGAGGAGGAGGAGGAGGAGGAGGAGGAGGAGGAGGAGGAGGAGGAGGAGGAGGAGAGGAGGAAGAGGAGTGAGGAGGAGGGAGGGAGGAGGAGGAGTAGGGGGAGGAGGAGAAGGGGTGAGGAGGAGGAGGAGGAGAGGAGGAGGAGGGAGGGGAGGAGGAGGGGGAGGAGGAGAATGAGAAGAGGAGGAGAGGAGGAGGAAAGAGGGAGGAGGAGGAGGATCCCCCCATGGACTGCCTCGAACGATCCTGAGGCCAACCCCGGCACCTTGGGCCAATAATTGGGCGATCTCGGGCCACCCTGGGGCCAACCCCGGCGCCCTGGATCAATCTCTGTTTAACGGGCGAAGAACGGTATAACATAAACTTTTTAGCTGTCGGGGGCGCCTGTCCCTGGGCGGCTGGGAAAGTTTGTACCCTTACGGTGGCACCGTAGAGGTATAAACTTTCCAGCCGCCTAGGGACAGGCGCCCCCGACGGCGGAAAGTTTATTTCATACCGTTCTTCGCTCGCTGACTTTGGGCCAACCCAGGACTCGAGCACCGATGCCTGTCGTCCTCGTTGTGCTTTCGCTTTGCTCCGCTCCGTCCTCGTTCTGCCCTTGCTGCAGAACGAGACCAAAACGAACACGGCCTGCGGCAAGGCGAGGCGCGCCTGAGTCCGCCGGGGAGGCGGGGCCTGGAAGGCCGGCGCGGGCGGGCCGGGGTCCTCAGTTGCAGATGTGGTGCTTGTGGTCAGTGCTGCGTGTATGTGGCATAGGAACGCTTGTTCCAAATTGCTCCATTGAGTGCTGTCCTGTGCTAGTGTAAATCATCGTTCGCTTACAACATGCTCGCTGAGAACGGCCCGCGAAATCGCCCAAACACCGTTCAGCTCGAGCCCTGTGCCGACCGCTGTACTCGGGGGCCAGTCGTTGGGCCTTGTTTCGGTCTCCGCTGGGCCACCCAGGCCCGCTAAGCAGGAGAAGAAACAAAACGCTCCAAGAACACGTCGTGCAGACCACAAGATGTTCTTAGAGCATTCTTTGGTGGGCCTCCATATAGAAAAAGAAAGAACGCCAGAAACATAAAACTTTTTGCGCTCCGCGCGGAACTCGTGGATCTGCGCTGGACCCCCCTCCCTGGCGCGGATCCCAGAAAGCCGCGCGGAGCACCCAAAGTTTCTGTTTCTGGCGTTTCTGTCTCTCCTTCGACTGAGAGCCCTCTTCCTCGAGGCCGACCTCGAGGAACTCTTGGGAGCCTCGCGGGCCGTCCCGGCGGTCCCGTGGGCCAGCCCCGGCGGCAGCATTCGGCGGAGCCCCGCCGACGGTCTTTGTTGCGGGGGGAGCGCTCTGGCCGCGTGGGGACGCGGGACCGACGGCCCAAGGGCCGCCCAGAACTGGCCCAAACTGGCCCACGAGGCCCCCAGGGGAGGGGCCCGAGAGAGCATGCTGCATCTTCGTTCGCGATCGCGGCTGCAGGCCTTTGCCCCCCCCCCCCATCCCCCACCACCACCCTCTGATGACGTCACGACTCGTGCCGCGCCGCCTGGGAATGCCCGGGTATAGCGAAGAGACCTCGAAGAGCAGATACCCATTGGGATCTGCTACAGTCAACCCGTACAGTAAGGATGCGCGATAAGGATGCAAGGGCCTTGGACGCCCATTTCGAAGTTTTCGAGCGGGGCGCGGCCAGCGAAAGTGTCCAAGGATGGACCCAGGAGGCAAGGATGCAAGGGTACCCTTGGGAGGGATGACTACGTATCCTTTCTCTGCGGGTCGACTGTATGGCCGAACGTGCGCCATGCTATGGATACGCCAGGACCTGCGATGGATATCTACGGATGGCCCAGCGCAGCGTGCGGGACAGCTGGACACAACATGTGGTCGTGCCCAGTCCTGCCCCCTTCCTTTTAGCCTCCTCCTCCTCCCTTTCTCCCTCCCTCCTCGTCCTCTCGTCGTCCTCGCCTCCCTTCCTCCCTCCCTCCCTCCCTCACTCCCTCCCTCTCCTCCTCCTCCTCCTCCTCTCCCTCCTCCTCCTCCCTCCTCCTCCTCCTCCTCCTCCTCTCCTCCCTCCTCCTCCTCCTCCTCCTCCCCTCCCCCCCTTCCTCGTCCTCCTCTCCTCCTCGTCCTCCTCGTCCTCCTCGTCCTCCTCGTCCTCCTCGTCCTCCTCGTCCTCCGCGGGCTCCTCGTGCCTCCTCGTCCTCGTCCTCTCGTCCTCCTCGTCCTCCTCGTCCTCCTCCTCCTCGCATCCTCCTCCTCCTCCGCCTCTCCTCCTCCTCTCCCATCCTCCTCCTCCTCCTCCTCCTCCTCCTCCTCCCCCTCCACTCCTCCTTCCCCCTCCCCCTCCCCCCTGGCCCCCCCTCCCCCTCCCCCTCCTCCCCCATCCACCCCCTCCTCTTCCTCTCGTCGTCCTCGTCCTCCCCGCTCCGTTGCACAGGGTGTCCCGGGGCAGGGACAGGAGAACGGCGGAGGGAACCGATGGGGAAGGAGGGGGCGGCCCTCGCCATCGCTCGGACGTTCACCCCCCGTGCATTCTTGTCGATCTCGTGCGTGTCTTTTTCGCCAGATGATCAGAGATGCCCCTCGATGGTCCTCGCCAAAAATAGGCGGCGGGCGAGGGGGGGAAATGAGAAGGAGAAGGCCTTCTCAGAAGGCGGCGGGACTTCTCAGAAACCCTCGCGAACGTCTGAGAAGCTGTTTCTTGTCTTCCGGGAAGGCTTAGGAAACTTCTCAGAAGGCCGGGGGACTTCCGAGACTTCTGAGAAGGCCCGCCCTTTCTCACTTCCCCCCTCGCTCGCCGCCGAAAAAAAAGAGTGCACACGTCCGAGCGATGCCAGGGGCCAGGCCGAAGCGGCCCGTGGGCCTGCACTGCTGCTGTCGGTGCGCCGTCCGGGAGGGGCCTCGGCGCTCCCTGGCCAGGGGCCCGAAGGGGGGCCCTGTCGTCGTCCTCCCCCATTCGACGAGCGCGTTCCACTACTCGCAGAGTAACTGCTCGCGAACGGCCTAGATCCGCCGTGGGGTGTCTACGATTACTTGCATCGAGAGCGGGCATGCGTTGTTCGGGCGTTTGCGAGTAGGCACTTCGCGAGTAGTGGAACGCGCTCGGCGACCCATTCCTCTTCTTCGAAATCTGCCTCTTGCCGTCGTGTTCTTCCTCATTGCGCCGCAGAGCGCTTCGCTGCACAGCAGCGCGCGCATCGCATCGCCGGGGCGCAGTTGGGGCGCGCCGAATGCTGGCGGAGGCCATGAGATACGCGCGTGCCATGTCCAACTCAGTTCAACCAACAGCGCACTGCATCTCTTTCAACTGAATGATCGGGCTGCGACCGACAACGTCAAGCTGGGTGTCTTGAACCATCCAGGAGGCTGGAAACACACGCGGCTGGAATCACATGCGGAACGTGCGGGGGCCAGCTGTTAGATACACGTGCGGATGGCTGGCGTATGCAGCCACGACGATGCCAGCCAGGCGCAGCCCAGGGGCCAGGTCTTGCCAAGGAGCACCTTCGGCACCGCAGCGGAGCCGGCGGACCGGTGACCGAAGGGGCCAGCTGAACGGGCACACGCCAACACGTGGATCACGGATCGAGTCTGGCGCGCGGGCGCCAGATCCATGGATCGGTGGAAGCACCTCCGAAACGTGGAGGCGACGCCTTCCTGACGTGGCGACGGAGCGCGCCGTTGGCGCCTGGAGGCGGGACCCGCCGCGAATCCATGCGCCACGGTGCGTGAGTGCGCTTCCTCGGCTACAGGCCCCCGGGAGTCACCCGAGAAGCCCCCCAAGATCCCCCCGAAATGTCGCCAGGGGCTCTGGAGCACGTCCCAGGTGCAGCGGCGGACCAGGCCGAGGACCACAACGTGGATAACTACTGGCCCTCGCTCTGAAGCCGCCGCTGCCCCTGGACCCCCGCCCCCCTTCCGCCTCTTGCGCCCAAGCTGCCCTCGGCGGTTGCA